TCTTCTTCTTCTTCTTCTTCTTCTTCTTCTTCTTCTTCTTCTTCTTCCTCTTCCTCTTCCTCCTCTTTCTCCTCTTCCTCCTCTTCCTCCTCTTCCTCCTCTTCCTCCTCCTCCTCCTCTTTCTCCTCTTCCTCCTCCTCTTCCTCCTCTTCTTCCTCATCTTCTTCCTCCTCCTTCTCCTTCTTTCTTATGAGACAGGGTCTCATGTGTCCCCGGCTGGCCCCAAGCTTACTGTGTAGGTGAGACTGGCCTCAAACTCTTGGTCCTCCTGCCTCTACCTTTTGAGTATGGGGATTTCAGGTGTGCACAACCAGGTACTGCTTATGGCATATTTTTGAATGCTCATGTAATAGTCCACCGTGTGAATAAGAATTCTACTGTGGAAGGGCTCCCCACATAGACTCATGAAGTTGGCATCATACCTCTGTACACCGAATGAAGACCATCATGAGTCTGAGTACCTACAAACAGCATTTAGTTATAAGCCTGGTAGAGGAGCCACTGAGATAGCTTATGGTAAAGGACTCAGGTTTGATTCCCAGCACCCACACGGCAGTTCCCAACTGTCTGTCACTCTAGTTCCAGGGGATCCAGCACCCTTTTCTGGCTCTCACGGGCACCAGGTACACGCAGTACTTAGACAAACATAAAGACAAAATACCCATGCACATAAAATACAATTAAAATTAAAAAAGAAAAGAAAATGGCATCAGTTTTAACCTGGGACTTTTGTTCCCCAAAACCTAAGTTTTATGTCTCAACACCTCTTTAAGATCTCACACGCCTGTGTGTGAGGCAGAGCCTGGACTCCAGTGGGCTTTGGTGACTGCCTGCTGAGTGGAGAAGCAGGTCCCCCAGTGCTGAAGGCCAGACCACCTGCCTGAGATCTGAGCCAGGCACTGAGCAGCAGCAGCCACTGTCCAGGTAGATCTCAGAGGAAATGCAAAACCAACCAGTCAAGTAAGTCGTGCCTCTGAGACTGAATCTGAGCATCTGTCAGCCCCCCCCCCCCCCCCCCGTTGATGAGTCAGCCTTTTACACTGCCTGGAGGAAGGCATGCTTTGGTTTGTGTTGCTTCTTCCTTCCCTCCCTCCCTCCCTC